TGGGTTTTGCAGGTGGTAGTTGTGGTGTTGTTAAGGTGGTGGTGCGGCGACGGTGTTTGAGTTGGAGAGGGTGGTGTTGGGTGGTGAGATTATGTGGAGTTCAGTTGGTGTCGATAGTGGAGTGACGACTTTCATTGGTGGTGTGGCATTGGTACTGTTGTGGTGGTGCCAAGGTGAGGGTGGTTGCAAGCGGCAGTGGTATGTGACCAACTATTTGGCTTATGTGACCAAAATTCGGTAATCTGTGACTAAAAATAAAATTCGTGACCAACCATTTTGTCATTTGTGACTAAGAATTATATAATCTGTGATTGTGAAAAAATCTATGACCAACTAATTTTGAAATATGTGACTGTGTGACCTATAAATTTTGATACATGACTAACAAATTAATTGTGACCTTAAAATTCTATAATATGTGACTAAAAATGTAATTTGTGACCAACTAATTTTGAAATCTGTGACCTAAAAATTATATAATCTGCGATCGTAAAAAAATCTGTGACCAATTAATTTGGACTGTGACCAATTAATTTGAACTGTGACCGTAAATTATAAATCTGTGACCAGAATGGTCACCGGAATAGTCGTCGGAATCGTAGCAGTCGCTAGAACGGTCGGTAGAGAAGAGTGGTGGTCGGAATAGTCGTCGAAATAATCCCAGAGTGGTATGAGTGGTGCATATGGGATGGGTTAATTATATTATATTAGAATTAAATAATAAATTGATTTAATAATTTATTATTTCATAAAAATAAAAAAAAACCTGATTTTAGAATTGGTGTAAAGAATACACCTTATTTATGAATTTTTTCCTATATTATATCCATAAACAAGTCAAATACATGTCACAAAGCATGGCAAATTTCATGGATCTCATATCTGTTGGTAAATAAGGATATTACTGTGAATTGATTTGGGCAAAATAACGTTGTGCAAAAATGAATGATACAAAATGTTAATGGTCGAGGCAAGTGTTCAACTCTCTCTCTTTAAAACGATAATGTTCCGCACTGATGCTGACAATATTCCGGCACTCGTCGCTCAAGATACAATGACATCGACTTATTATAGTAGCACTCTAAATTATAAGACCTGGCGAACTTGCTCACGTTTTGACCTCTCTAAAAATTGAATGACTAAAATGCACAAACATAACTTTCGAGGCTAAATTTCAAAATATGAATAATGTAGAGACGGATAAAGAAGAATAAAAATCAATTCTTATTTTGGAATAAATGAAAATCTGAGTTATGGGGGCCTTTATATAGAAGTTGAAAAGTTGAGTCAAAAAGACACAACAGTCGAAAAGTTTGGAGGCAGTTCAACTGTCAACTGTTAACCGCCATCTTCTATATGAAAACATGTCGCGCACAGAAAATTAGAGGAAAATAATATAAATAAATATATTATTATTTTAAATAATAATAAAATAATATTATTCAAATGTTATTTTACCCAAAAATATATATCAACTTGGCCCTAGCCCAAGCCAAGACTCATGTCGTGCCGGCCGGTCGGGCGGCGACGCGCGCGTGTAGGCTTTGGCTCAACCTACTAGCATCTAGGTTATCTCATATTCAAAGACTATTGATACCCCTTGAGACCCAAACCCATGTCTCAAATTTAAGCAATATAAAGTGATTTATACTCTTCTAGTTTTTCTATGTAGGATTGGCATTTTCTCAATTTCTCACCATTTTTATTCCGATTTATTTCAACTTCAAGTAGTCATCTTTTGACCTTAATTTCTTATTCATCCTAAATTGATTTTGAGAAAATAAATACATCACATTAATCTACTCATGGAGTCGAACACACTCGGCCCAAGAAATATTTTGTCCAACTAACGTGACTCGCTAAAATAATTGGTCAAAATTTGGTCAAACCAACTAAGAAAAACCAATTTTCCCTACAATATCAACTCGTCACGTCTAATTATTATTCAATCCCTATTTGGCGTAGATTAAAATTTATTAAAAATTATAAGTCAAATCTAAAAGAAATATTGTTCTTTTTTAATCACACATTTTCCAAAATATTATTATTTCCCTCGTTATAATCTGGAAAAATGGAACCCAAACTAGGGACAAGAGAGGACCTGCTGGATTCTCTGAAAAAAGAACTAAATTAATTAAGTGAAAAAAAAAATCTATATTATATGATTTATTAATATAAATAAATAAATAAATTAATTAATTATGTGAAGGGTTCCTTGACCTGGAACAGATAGAGGAGGATGGTTGTGGTTCTGACTGTTCATAACCTGTCCAATAGATTTATGGTCCGTATTGTTGTAGCCTTTTCTTGTCATTAACTTACAGTTGTTCTTATACGTACTCCTAGTTCTTTTGTCAAAAATATTATTTGTACTTTGTTTGGTGATATTAGCGTTAACATGGTACTTGAACTCTTTCATGCAGCTTTTAAAGCTCATGTATCATGCTCCTGCATCTTCTGGTTACCATCAAAGTGCATGGTCTAGGATTGGTCGGACTGTAAACCCATTTATCCAATGCTATGCTCCATTCTTGAACTCTCCGATCTCAGCCATTCAAAGATGGTGGTTTAGGTGAGAAGCCTCGACATGGAAGGGGTCGGGGATGGGGTTAACAACAACAAATGCTTATTTCGTGTTGAGCCTTTGTCACTTGAGATTGGAAAAGAGGATACATGTTTCATAACTTTAGATATATGGTTAAGCAGCCACTTGAATCGGTTTATACTGATTACTTCGTGCTAATGTAAAGAGTTTGACTTTAAAGCAGTGTCTTTCACTTGGTTATGAAGTTCTGTTTTATATTTGGCTAACACCCCACGTATAGGGTAGTTTTAACAGGGGCCTTACAAGACCCTCACAAGGGGGGCGGGCCCCACATGTATTAAAAAAAAATATTCGTGGGCCCCGTCATGTGTCTTGCCTGTAAACCCCCTATGAAAAAATTGCATGTACTCCAAGCATCACTCTTTACATTTTCTATTGCTTATAGAGATCTTTATTTGTTTAACAGTAACATGTCACATCATTACTTTGTTATACAATGATTAATTTCTAAGCTTACTTCATGAATTTGGAGTTTTGAATCTTTTATTGAGATGGGAGTACATACAAAAACATGTCTTATTTTTAAAGTTGTTTTTTCATTTATTTATTCTTGAATATTCAATACTTGGATAACATATTTTGTGGGGATATAACGGCTCTTCTAGACTTTGAGTGAAGACAGTTCTAGTAAAGATCACAAGGTAGTCACTATCAATTCTAGATGTGACTATAATAAGCAAAAATAAAAATAAATATGAACCATGCTGCATGTAAAATCATGGTTGACAATAATGAGTTGACAGGAATTTAAATCATTTATTTTAAAATTATTTTTTAAATCAACAGCGCGAATTTTGATAATACGTGAATTGTAAACGAAGTTGTCAATGAAGAATGTACAAATAACTTTATTCAAAAAATTAATTTGGCCAACAATTTCATGCCCTTATTGTGTTGGAATAATCTATATAGATAACCTAACATTTCGAGTCCCCTCAGAACCACTGAGGTGAGTGTCCGACCGTAAATTTCAGGGTTCGTGAAATTAGTTGAGGTGCGCACAAATTGACTCGGACATCCACGATTATAAAAAAAAAAGATAACCTAACATTAAAAATGCTACACACACGTGGTCCTTGAAGGCAAAACTGGGCAAATTTGTATACTACACCTTTCCTTCAGTGAATAGACAACTGTCGAATGTTTGACAATTTTCTCGAACCTTCCCCACGAGGGATCTCATAAGACATTCAAATATTTCGGACTCATTTGTCACTTCTGCTTCTTATATGACGTGGTCAAGTGTACAAAAACTTTCCATCGCTATCACATCTTTCTTGCATGTAATTACTGTTGTTTTGCATTGGTTCTTGCAACGCAAAGGCAAAACCCGCCATTTTCACTGCACCGTTCCGCGTGATAAGATTCTTTCTCAAATCCCAATAAAATATACCTGTTTTAAAATCAGTTCATCGAATCTTCTGATTTGTAATTCTAATTTAACCCATTGGACGATGGCGATGGAAACGTCGACTTCTTTGCCGGCGACGATGGATTCGAGCGACTCCTTTGAGAATTTGAAGCAACAAATGGAAGCGGATGATTTGATCAGGGTTTCGAGTTTTCCTAGGCGGAGAGCTGTGAATAAAAAAGCTCGGCCGCGTCGCCAACAGTCTTTTGGCCGTGAAATCGGCCACGCTGCGGCGGAGACCTATTTGGTCACTAGCCTCAGCTTCAAGCTCCTTGGCTACCTCGGGTACTATTCTTAGTGCTTTTCTCTTCCTAATTTTTAATTCATTTATTCTTTTATTTATTGCACACTTCTATTGCTCGCATAATTTGAATATCCTTTTGTTATGTTTAAGCACAAGTGACTGAGGAGATAGGGTGCGGCATGCGTGGAGTAGGGATATGTGATTATGAGTTTGCAAAATTTGAATCTTTTAATCATCTTGTAGCATCTAAACAAATGTCGCTATTAAAACTGTACTGACAAAACATAAGCATCTGGCCGAATATTTGATTATGAGTATGTTAATGAAGGTTAGAATTGACATGAAAATATGTTGTGGCAGTGAGCACAATGCAGACAAGCGATTTTGTTTTTTATAAGTAACATATTTGGGACGATATGTGATACCATCTTATTAAGAAGAATCAATATCACATTGATTGGGTTGTTACAATAAATATTAGAGTTGTACTGAGAGAACAGATAAAGAATTTTGAGAAAACACTGTTACTCATTATTGATTTGGGTTGTTCAGATAGATACTGGAGAGCAAATTGAGAAAATATAAATGACTTCCCACTCAAGGATTGTACAAGGCAGTTCCTTGTTTAGAAGCAGTGAACAATACTCTCATCTTCACATCCAATTGCAGAATCTAATTTCCTCATTTGAAAAGGATCTCATTTCAACTGATGTTGGAAATGAAATGCGTATAACCAATGTTCATTTGCTGGTTCTTTGGATCTCGAGCACATAATTCACAACAATAACAACAAGAAGCTAGGCCTTGTTACCAATAAAGCTTTTCAAAGGTGCAATGTCATTTGCAATTTCTAGATCCACCACACACGATTCAAGATTGTTTAGTTCTAATTTCGGATATCATGGATTCCTTTGATCCCAAGCTTAAAATGGTCAAATAATGTAGAAGATGAAACAAGCTCATTTTATGTTATTGGTTTTTTTTGTCAATAACCTTTACTTTTTACATACAAGGCTAGTTTCATTCCTAATCATTTCTTCTATTCAGGGTAGGCTACCGCTGGATCACACGACTTCTTGCCCTTGCTTTGTATGCCATGTTACTTATGCCAGGTTTTCTCCAAGGTGCGTACAAGACTCGATTATGCCTCTTTTGGTACATGAAAGCTTAGGGGTTATGCAAATATAACAGGTTTAATATTGTATATATGTATTATGTAGTGTTTACCATTTGTTATCAGAAGCAAGACACTAAAGCAAATTTTGTCCTCGTTGGTGATTGAAAGTTCAGGGTTTTTTTTAAATTTTTGTCATTTTGGTCCATTGAAATTCAATGAACGTCACCTGAAAATCCCCAAACTGTTCAGTGAGCCCAAAGTGTAACCGAGAAAGGTGCAATTAGGTTAATTTTTCTGAAAATAATCCACGAACAATCATGTACAATGAATAGAAAAACTAAACAACAATATTTGAAAGTAATTGTATCTGTTTATTTTTTAGATTTGTGGGTAGGGGTGGGGTGTGTTGCTATTTTAATGCTGCTATTTATATTTTCCTGCTTATTTTAAATGAATTTGGTTACTCATTAGATCTTGCAGAATACATATTTGTGCGGTCATTCTTTTTAGTATTGAATTCAATGCTCTTGTCCATGACTCAGCTTCTTTAACTTGAATGATAAGATCGTTTGATATTTGTTTTTGGTAGTTGCATTTCAATATTTCTTTTCAAGCCAAGTCCGCAGAAGTATTGTTTATGGAGATCAACCAAGGAATAGGTACATTTTTGTGAGATTGAAGCCTTCATCAAATATTTCTTCACTATATTTACATCCAATTTTGACTATGATATAAAAGTATTTTGCAGGTTGGATTTATATTTACCATCAAATGAAGATGGTCTGAAACCTGTGGTAGCATTTGTAACTGGTGGGGCTTGGATTATTGGGTGAGTAAGCCAGAGGTTATTACCTTTAACTTATTTTCATCCATCTATTGTTTTAGATTGGGGTTTTTGGTAGTGCCATTCTGCCAGCTTTCCCCTGCTTCCCTAACTTCGACCTCCAATGCTTCCAACAGCATACAACAACTGCCCTTACCATTTTCTATTTGCTATATACATATATCTTGAGTATATATTTCTATGAATTTTTGTTTACAGATAAATAAATCCACATCTGTATATGTTCTGTTGGTTGAAAATTGAAGTACTGCCCGCTGCATGGAGATTAATTCCGTGGTGGTGATGGTGTCTACTATTGTCAAGGTCTCCTTTGTAGTGGGGGAGCCCTCAGTTGTGTGCGGGAGGAAGAATGAAGAAGAAAAGAGGAAAGTAAAAGGAGTTATAATTGCAGTAGAAGGCGATTGCGGTGTTGTTAAAGGGTGGATGCAACATGCGATCCCATACTCTTCTTGAAAATAGGATTAAATCCCAAATCTCAATCAATAAACACCTTTGGAAAATTGTAATTTTCCACTTTCGAAGTTAAGATTTCAGAAACCTCAAAACCATTGATGTGGGCCTACCAAACAACATGCTTAATCAGGGAAACACTGGCCCCTTTGCAGGGCATTTTTATCTCAAATATCATATATCAGATTACCGAACAAACTAGTCCTTAGGGACTATGGGAGGGAACTCCATCTTTATAAGTTGAATTCATCAATTTTAAATAGATGTGACTTAACTTATGCGGCACATGTAGAATGTCTTGACCTATGTGCTTTTTTCTTAACTAGCATTGTTTCCTCAGTCCACAATGTATTCATTATGTTATGTTCTCAAGAAGTGACTTCACCAATGGACAGGTCATTGTTGAAAGTCGAAATTCAATTCGGATACTATATTTTCCTTCTTATGTTGAATGACAGTGTCATGTTAGTTTACTTGTTCAAAATATGTATTAAGTGAATTCTATGTAACATGCTATCCAAAGGAATCAGTAGATTTTTTAAGCTAGATATTCCAATGCGTAATTCATACTATTTGTAGACAATGCTACTTGTGTCCTATTGAAGTCATAGTATAATCGTGTTTGCAGGTACAAGGCATGGGGTTCTCTGCTAGGACTACAATTAGCAGAAAGAGATATCATAGTGGCATGTATTGATTACAGGTAGTCTGATGCAATCTTAATTTTATCATGTTTATTCTGATATTCATGAACTGTATTTTTATAAGCATAAGAGCCTATTTGAATTGGCCATAGTGCGTAATTCCAGACAAATTGTAGGTTTTCACTCCCCCACCCACCCTAGAAAAGAACACTGATATTGATTAGAAAGGTTTTGTCAAATAATGTTGTGCTTCCCGTCCAGAAATGGACCGGCGTGATGTATTTCAATATATTTATGTGCCTTTCTTATAAAAAATAACACACACACAGAGACAACCATTCTAGCATGTCAAAATATTTGTTTCATTGTTCCTTTATCGTTCAGCAAGCTGGTGTTTGCAAAGTTTTACCTTGAACTTGAATTAGTTATCATTTGGTTGAATGAATTCAAGATAAAAAAGATTATTAAGTACACCTGTTGGCCTTCCAAATGACCACAGGTATTTGCTTGAGTTGCTAAATCCTTCATATACAATGATGAAAAAATTCTCACTTTATCTCCTATGTGTATATACATGTAATTTTGATCAACAATATTGTAACTTCGTCACAGTTTCCCGTTTGTGTATCCATCTGGTTGCAGAAATTTTCCACAGGGAACAATCAGCGATATGGTTAATGACGTTTCTCAAGGGATTGCTTATATTTGCAAAAATATTATTGAATATGGAGGTGATCCAAACAGGTGAGTCAATTTTTTTTAATTATTATTGAGCTCGCTTACTTCATAACAGGAGCAATAATATCAGGATTTTCATGAAAGACATAAAATGACGGAAAATCGATAGAGATGGTCTGTACTACCTAGGTAACCAAGGGTTTGTCGATAATGGTGGTGGGTAAAGATAAGGTCAGGAACAAAATAGATTTGTTGTTAAATATAGAATCTTACCCTAGATAATAGAACAGAATAAAAAAGGAAAGAATTTATTTGTTGAGCCGAAACATCAAGTCTCGTTGACATGTCTATGCTCCAGCACAAAGGGTTAGAACCTGATGAGTGCTGGTGAATAATGAATGATCCTTCTTGCCAAAACACGTCTGTTGGAAACATTTCTGCAGGATTTATCTCATGGGTCAGTCAGCTGGTGCACATATTTCTTCATGTGCTCTTTTGCAGCAGGCAATCAAAGAATCCAGAGGCAATAGCATTTCTTGGAGTGTCTCCCAGATAAAAGCTTATTTTGGTTTATCAGGGGGGTAAGTGTAGTATTTACCAGGATTTAAATTTTGTTTTCATCTTGTTGAGGGGCTAGTATCTCTTGTTCCACCATGATTGGGAACTAAACTGTTTGATGGACTACAATAACTTCTCAATCCATGTATATTGACAGATACAATTTACTCAATCTGGTTGATCATTTCCATAATCGAGGCTTGTATCGCTCCATCTTCTTAAGGTATACAAGTTCTTTTCAATGCTAAATCGTTTAATAAAGTATGACTGACTGTGTTCTTTTGCTTTATGTGATTGATGTCTTGATTTGTTATTTACAGTATAATGGAAGGAAAAAAATCACTGGAACAATTTTCTCCTGAAGTTATGGTACAGGATCCAAGCTCTGACAAGGCAGTTTCTATGCTGCCCCATATTGTCCTTTTCCATGGTACTGCAGATAGTTCCATACCATCAGATGCAAGGTTTGCATTCTTTCTGAAGAATGATGTTAATAAGCTGCCCATGACTTCACACAAGATGCCGTGTTTTCTTGCAGTAAATGTATCTGTGGTTATCTAATTCCATGCTTTATGAACAGTGTGTGAATTTTTTCTATTGCAGTTTCAAAATGTTTGCTTGCTTTTTTAATAAAATGACATCATCTCACAAGTAGAGAGGAGCTACTTATAGTATAAGATGCTAATGGCTGGGTATTGACCCAATATCAATCTATCATTCTAGAACTCTTTAACTGTATGAGCTCTTTTGTCGATTTCATTTTCTAGTAATGACATGCGAATTTATTATGCTAGAATACCCTTTCTGCAATTCTAATCTTGTCAGTTACCACTTGTATTGTTGTGAAATTGAACAAAATGTTTATGTATCTGATTTTTTTCTTGAGCGTGTAAGTGTTCGGCATCATGACTTGGCTTTTTAGTGCCTTTATTGATAATCAAGTGAAGGCATAGGCAGTTAGATGGTTACTAATACTGTGTTGAAAATGATTATTGTTGATCCAAAATCCACGCTAGGAATTAGAGGCATGAAAAGTTCATGTATTCAGTCTTTACTTAAAATGCTTTCCAAAGTGCATATGGATCATGACATGTTTAGATGATCTATGCGTGAAAAATTTGGAAACTTCAGGTAGCATTACAAAAATATTTCACTTTAATATCATTACATGGATACTTCAATTATATGTCATAGTAAGATTCATTGTTACTGATTGAAATGCATATTAGACAGCATGCATGCTTGCATATTTAAATGTGCCAAAAACTTCCTTCAATATTGCATTTTTCTCCGGAAGACTTATAATTTATAATTTGGTAGCCTTGATTTGTCACATGGATACTTGAGTTATATCTCTGGTCAATTTTAGTTTTCATATGTCTCAGGCTGAAAGCAAATCCTTTTTCCGTTTAGAACTACTTTAATGTGGTAGAGCTCTATAAATGTTTTTTTGCCTTAGTTTTTTTTTTTTCTTTTTTCATAGGCTGGGTGGAGTACACAATTAGTCCTAGAAACCAAAGTAGTACTGGAAAAAGGGAACTATATGGTGTGACAATTTAGTGTATTAATTTAGTCCCCCATTTGGGCTCCAATAAATTTTAATGTTTTTTTATGTCTCTTCTTTTCAATCACACATTCTCTAATAAAATAATATTACAAGTAAATCCAAAACCTTTCCTTCTTTTTTAACGACACATTCTCCAAAAAATCATTATTCCAAGATACATTTTTCCTAAAAACTAAATTTAATGGAGCCCAAACAGTGGCTTATTATTTATGTAGGTACAGTTGAACTTCTTTTGATATATTGTCCTTAAAGGGCTGTTTAATTGCCTAAAAGAATTTAGTTGTGCTTCTCTTTAGCTGCCCAAAGTGTGAATGCCCTGGTGCTGGTTTGGAACTGATCTGAGTATGCCTGACCTTGATGGAGTTCCAGGAAAAGGGTTTCAACTCAAACTCCTATTTTTCCTAACTTAAGGTTTTTAGGCGGGCACTCTTTGGAAGGCTATATGCATTGAAAGTTTTATAAATCCTCCTGTTGAAGATTAATAATGTCATGAATTTGGACAATGCACAACTCAAAATAGAAGAAAAGCATTCTCTACTAATTATATAATTTTTTAAGAATGCTGTATCTTGTAATATATTGTTTCTCGTATCTGGCAAAAGAAAATGCATGATGTCTTGTTTAAGCAAGAGTAACTAAATTGTGGCACAATGTTAACCTTTGTTTTAACTTGTTTGCTATTTTCAGTAAAGCATTTGTGGATACACTCCACAGAAGGGGCGCTCGAGCAGAACTTATTTTATATGATGGGAAAACCCATACAGATCTATTCCTCCAAGTAAGCATGATTTATGTTCTCTTTTTCCTCTAGCATTGCCTATGTAGTTGCAATAGATTTTATAATCAGTACTGCGGATTGCAATTATCAGTATAGAACTATTCATTTCCCACCCTTCTAGAGCTAGCATCAGATTGATAAATAACTCATTGATATGCTAGAGAAGTAGAGATATAACTACTTGTAATGAGGTGTAACTCGTTCTGATTCAAGATTGACATGGGACAGGCAAGAGTTGAGTTTTAAGTGAATGCGGATCAGCCTGGTCAATTACTTCTTTAACCCAGAAATTCAGTATCTGTCTCAAAATGCAGGATCCTCTTCGTGGGGGTAAAGACGAGCTTTTTGACTACGTGGTAGCCTTCATACATGCTGATGACAAAGAAGCTCTTGCTAGGGATGCAATGGCTCCTCCTAGACGAAGATATGTCCCAGAGATATTGTTGAGATTGGCTCGTCGGGTCAGCCCCTTTTAGGCCAGACATTTCCTAGTGATGGCTGCTGATAAGCAAGCTCTAGCTCCCTCTACCATATAATCTTCATAAGGACGCCTGTTCCTGAAATGTGTTGAAGTCTGACAGTGCATTCTGCCCAATTCAGCCTCAAGCTTGAATGATATGATTTAATTCTCAATGGAAGGGGAGGTGCACTGTTTGATATATGGACAGAATGTTGTACATTTTAGTCATACCTTGGACTTCCCTTTATTTTAAACCTATATTTAAAAAAAAATGGATTTTGGTTCTTTATATTATTTCATTTATTGTCGGATTGATTCCTATTAACCCAATTTTATTTTTCTATTTTCATTTTTTTGTGAGGATGGGAGGGGAGGTAAAAATTCTCGAAACTTGACATCGGCTGTGAAAACAATAATTCATAAGCAATTGAGGCACATATTTGGTCTATTAATTTGGTTTCAGAATGAGAGTATTTGTGAAATATTTAAAAATGAGGTTATCTATTATTGTACAATAAAAAAATGTCTACCTATTTTTCCTTTAGCAAAAGCGTAAGAAAGTGAAAAAAACACACTGCTCTAGTAACCTACAATCCAAATAAAATGAGGTCATTAATTAGCGCAATTTTATGCAAGCTCCATTGAGGTTTATGATAATTTAATGGAGCTGTGATGTATTTTTAATGCTTTGAACAATATTTACGGAGTAATGTTATTTAACATTACTGGTGTTGAAATACGCACTAATGTGACATTAAATGAAATGTACAATTAAAGTACACTTAGTTTTACCCTTTATCGAATCTATCACTTAACATCACTTAAAATAATGTTGTATTAGCATTGGTATTAGATAACATTATTCATATTTAAAAGAGCTCAATGGATTATGTACTAATAGTTATACGTTCATGTCAATAATTCAATCTGTCATGTCAATTTGTTTGGTAAGTTGATCAAACTAAATTTGTTGACGAAAGCTACATTATAACATCTCCAATCCTTTCATGGATTGCTAAATAATTTACAATACAAGTAAAAGTATCCAATGCTTAAAAATTATATTTTCGATTTTAGTTGGGATTCTTTCAAGCTGATATGTCAAATGAGATAACAGACATAGTATAGAGATTTATATGTTTTGTTTTTATTTTAACAAATAAAAGGTACCTAGGCAGCATTATTGTGACAGTAAATCATAATTAATACAATATATTATTTTTTATATGAAAAATTGATTTACAAACTACTAAGCAAGTAGCCTGTTTGACATAAATTTCGAAAAACATATTTTTCTGATTTTCATCATGTGGCACGATGTATTGATAGTATATATAAAGGGACGCAAAAGTGAAACTCATCTTTCATGGTATGAATGTGAAGATCCATCTTCCCACGGACACGAGTACACGACACGATAATTAAGATAACCAGGAAGAAAGCCAAGCTATTACTTTCATCAGGTCTAATCTCTTTCCAGAATGGACATGATAAAAACTTCCCACCACTAACGTGACAAGAGAACCTTCCTTGTAGATATCTTCAATTCCCAATTTGAGGAAAACAAGATATTAAATTCGCATTTAAATAGATAATAGCGGCACACACAAACCCACACAGAGAGCAGTTGTAGAACTCAGGATTTCTGCAATAGACAGCTAAATCTTGTTGAAGATAGAAGTAGAACTGCTGAATTTGCCTCCAGAAATTTTAAAGTTTACAATTATTGCATACATATCTGTAAAAATCCATCACACATCTAATTTTGTACACTAACTCCCTTCAATTCAAAAGAATACTTGTCCTGCATTTCCCTCGTACGTGAACCTCTTACCTAGTTAACTAAAACTTGGCATCGGCCATCACCCAATAGTCCACAGAGGACCCGAAATAATCCCTATATCAGCCTATCTGGGGGATGATGAATGTGCAGTACCATACTGACCATAGTTTGAGGAACCATCTTGCACTAGAGGGCTTCGTCTACCTCTATCTGACAAGGATCGGCCATAACTCGGGCTTCTATGAATGGATGGACTAGATCTCGCACTAGGGGAAGAGTAACTGGAGTCGTAACCACCATATTTATGAGAATAATTGGAGGGTCGAGATCCAGGATCAACTCCAGGAGGCCCATCATCTTCGAAATCACTGGACCACCTTTGTTGATGATAATGCCGCCTGCTGAGTTTTTCAGACGAGTGGTTATATTCGCGGTACGAACCATGTCTAGATACAATATAACTTGACGACCCAGCTGCCCAAGGTCTTTCATCTGCATTTTCAGGGATTGGAGCATTTATTCCAGGATATTTAACACTCATTTTCCTGGACGGCTCAGCAACAGTTGGATCAAGAATTTCCCCTTCTTCAGTTTCTTCTTTCGTTGCCTCATCAGCAAAAATTGTAATCCCTGATGGCTGGTCTTCATCATCTGGATCTGAAAATTTAGAAAACAAGATGAAACAACTTTCGAAGATGTGCACTTCACGCATAGAAAACAAAAGGTAAAGACATTAAAGAATGAATTTTTAACCCTGCCGCCCAGTGCACAGAGAACTATTTCAACAAATCATCAAGATGAAAACTGTTTAATCGTTCTCTACCTAAATAACCCGGTGGATACCCTATTTCCCGCATTCTGTTAAACCAAGGAGGTGGATCAAACTCCTATACAATAAAAAGGAATGATGATGAGTATAGATGTTTAATTATGACAGTTCTAATAATATATTTACTTATAATTAAAAATATTCTAAACTTACAACCTACTCCGCAAATAATCAAGCTCACATAAAACCATCCATGGAAAAAGAAACAGAACCTCACTCATCTCAAAGCAAGATTATCTCACCCCAAGTCCTAAAAGTTTCCGCGTATCAGAATCAAGTACACCTGGCCTTAAACCATCATATTTCCCCCCAGGAGAGCTGTGAAAATATCGAGTGGGGTTACGAGAAATGGAATGTTGATTACGTCTATTCTTGTGCTGTTTTCGGGCATTATTGATGGTAACATTGTCACGGGGCTTAGGACATTCTTTAAGTGCATGGCTGTACGAACCACAGTTGAAGCAACGGGAATTATCTAACATCTCCAAGCCTCTGCACAAAATAAACACGGGTTTGCAGTTCAGCCAGATGATCGACAAACAAGTCAATAGAACAAAGTAGAGATTTAAATTGAACAATTTACTTTTGAGACAACTCGAAAAATTTCAAAGGTTGCTGGATATACCAAGAATTTAGCTAATTGATGTGTTAGCTTCAAGTTGCCATGTTTTTTTAGAGAAAACCAACAGTTCACAATAAAATAAAACTAATAAATGACAATACTCAAAATAAACATGAACCATACATAAATAACAAAAGAAAAACATACCCATCCAAAACAAGGTAACCAATCATATAATGTTATTTAAATTTAGTGACTAATTGGGAAAAAAATATACTTCAAGAATCAATTCAAATTTCACTTGAACTTCAATGACCCTTTTTGAGATTTAACAGTAACATTGTTATAATCTTCTTTAATTTTCTTAGCTTTTAAAAATATTTTTTTACTACTAAACTACAGATAATATATAAAGATTGTGAAATAAGTCCACAGTAATTGTAATATTTCTATATTTGCATGCTTAACTTGCAGCAATGATTAAAATTTTAATTTCCTTTTATTTCTTATTTTACTACTTAAGTGTTACTTTTGAAAAAAAAAATACATGGTACTTCTATTTTGATAGAAGCCAAGTGGTCATAAATTACCCAGAATATATTTTCTTCCATGTCTGTATACATTAGTAAAAGGGAAAATTGCAATCACGATACCAAACCTTTCATTTAGTAGCAGACTTTACCCAAACCGTTCATTTGTGCCACCAACGATACCAAACGTTTTAAAAATTCACACCTGGAATCCAAATTGATGGTTTCCGTCCATTTAACCGTCAGTTGACCATTTAAAAAAAAATTGACCAATTTTTTAAATGGTAAAATAGTAATTTTACAATTTTAATATAAAATACATCATAATAATAATTAAATAAATAAAAAAAAAACCAAATTCAATCATCAATCTAAAAAAAAAAAAGAATAATCAAGTCAGATTTATAGTTTAATTTATTAAATTAAGAAATCTGAAAAAATAAATTAATAACATACAAATTATATTAATAAAATTACTGACCTTATTGTTGAACTATGATCTTTCTTCTTAGTTTTTTTTTTTTTTTTCGTGGCTTCTCAGTTAATAAAAGATTACTTATAAACTTTTTAATTGGTTAAAGTTGTAAATAAAAATTTAATAATTTTAATTGTACCATAAAAGTTACTTTGAGACAAGTAATTTTTACTCGGAATTGAAAAAAGTAGCATATGCAAACATGTTATAAGTGTTATATCAAGCTCCTCGAAGTCCAATTTCATATAATGGATTGCATCTTTTCTTGATTCAACAAAGTCTGTTACGGCTTGCGGGAAATCTGTAACAATTTAACATTTTCATTTATCAAATTAGATTAAATATGAATTATTTTGGATAATTTTTAACTTTTTGATTATAAGTTAAATTCAATTTGAAGATGGAGGGACATTTTACTGCGGATAACCTATCAATTTCCTTATCATGTGCTAGTCATGTGTGATGTCGATATTCCAAGTACATATTTATTTTTTTCAACTTGGCGTGCAAGTTGCACTTTTCCATTGCAAATAACAGTTGAATTATTAATATAGAACAATATAATTGTTGAAAATAAAATTTAAATTAGTAAATTTATTTGTTCTCTAATAGGTTTAAACTTTTAAATGGATGCATAGTTTAGTATCAAAATAGATCATAAGGCGAGACTAAAAATGAATTTAGCGTCTAGGCGCGAAAAAGCGCTGAACACAATTTAAATAAATACCCGCGTTTCTACTCTAAAAACTTAAACTTAAAAACGAACTAGTTCAACGTTTCTCTCTAATCAATAACTTCAAACAAGTTGAGCACAACACTATTGTGTTGCCGCAACTTTATTTGACGACGCCTTCCGAGACAATTTGTACATCACCATCCTTGCAATCTTGTAGAACCAGAATGCACTCACAAGCTGAAGTCCCACAGCCATTGCCTGCAAAAATGAAAATAACCGATATGGTCACAAATCCATAATAGAGTACAACCGAATTGATTATCTTCATGCATATAAGGATACTAGATTAGCTCGTTTTATGGGATTCGATCTGTAAAATGATAAATGTCTCTTTAGTTAGTTGACATGGATTACCTTGATGAGAAGTGGGTTGTTGGCTGATAAAGTCACATAAGTGAGATAAGGTCCCCCAACCATTCTTGCAAATGTGAAAATGACTGCAAACATAATCTGCAAATTAACAATGTCAATTAGCATGGTTCTCGGTTCTAAGATCCAGAATAGGTCAAGTTTTAACTCAAACTGTACCGAACTGGTACGTTTGATCTAGTTCTAGTAGGGTTCGGTAGAGACTAACATCAGCTGCCAAATTAAGGTCAGTGTTGTTGTATCCCAACTCTTTGAGAAGTTCCCTTAAGTGAAGGAATGGACTGGAAATTTCTGTAATCCACAATGCTGCAACCATTTCTGATCCACACTAAACCATGAAAATATTGCCTAATTTAGCAGTCTTTACAAGAAATAATCAAGATTTTACGATAACATTTGAAATGGAAAAATTATAAAAGAAAGCAAAAAAAGAACATTACCCTTTGATAGGCAAGGCCAGCCACAAGTCCAACAATACTTACAAGATGGTGAATTGTATTGTCAAGCTTCACACGTTTGTCAAAGAGACAGCATGCTAAATCATAGATTAGATAAGCTACTGTCACTGCTAGGGTTTGCATCTGTTTCATGTCCAATAAAATTAATATCAAGAGAGGATTGTCTAATTTTTCATGAAGTAATTTTACTTTCCAATTACTCCCAAAATGCTTGAGAAGTTACTTTCAAGTCTTGTTACCACATACTTCAAAAATAGTGCAAATGTCGTGATTATTTGAAAAATGAATTTGGTCTACATTTGAGTGCGTTCGTTGATGACAAAATTTGAATAACCATCTCCACCTATTGGAAAAAAAAGAAGTCTTGTATCGGTGCTTTGCGCTGGGGGTGACCAGTGTAACATTCTACCAGTGGTCCATTTTTTCTATATGTTATCAAAGACGCGAGACTCGTTCAAGTCTTGTTGTCACCCATAAGAAGGTGTGAATTCGGTCTGCACGTGAGAGAGCGCGCACAACCTCTGAAAAATCACTGAGAAAAGAAATTTCTTTTCATGGTGAATCAGCCCTTAAAATGGTGTGGTAGCTTGTGAACTCTAACGATGAAAAACTGACTCTCTGGTTTCAATCTACAATTTCAATTGAACCAAGAACTGACGAAAAGCCCAACACTGAATCCAGAAGTTCGAAACTTAATAATAGGGATAAGAATAAAACCTGGTGAGGAGAAGACTTTGAAGCCAAAGGGCATACTGGGCAGCTCCAATCTTGAACAGAAAGAGAAGCCAAAGTTACAGCTAAAGAAGCATGCATTGTGGAAACAACTCGATTGCAGAAATCAAATGAACGTTTTGGAAAGACCCTTCTTGTTAACAAGAATAATGTTGTCCATGAGATTACACCAAATACAATCAAGTTTATGATATAATCTTCCATATCTATTTTCCTTTCTGTCCAAGTTGAAAGAAAAACGCAAACAGATAATGGATAAAATGTTTTAAACTTATGGAAATAGAGCTTTTTGTTGTGAAAACCTGAACAGATATTCGAGTGTCTGGTTCACAGAATTCCACGGTATAATGAATAAGATTTCAACTCGTACTATGGATATAGTATCTAATGCTTAGTTATTAATGTTCGTGGGTTGATGCCTTCTTCCACCAAACTTCAACCTAAAAACTTTGTTTGGCAACTCAATCTTCTTAATCAATTGGGATTAGATTTAAGTTTAAAGTCTTGGACAATGACAGAGAGAGGATATAGAACCAAATAATACAGAAATAAACATTTTACACACGCGTTTTTCTAGTAAATTATGTTATAAAGGCAATATTGGCCAGTTCATAGTTGTAAGTTGAGAAAGAGACTACTATCTGATTTCACGGTTGTGGGGTTTGCCATCTTTAATGCTGTACCTGTGCATAACGTAACGGTAGCTTGGAATATTCAATTCTCTTCCTTTTTGGGTTGTGAAATTGATTCAGAAGTCAAATGCTTCCCTTTTCACGTTAGATTAAAAAAATAAAGACTTATGTTAGATCCTATAATACTATATTTGGAAGAAAGTATGTTTCGTTCACGAATATGGTTTCTTGAGGCGGACAGAAAGCCATTGATGACAACTATAGCAAAAGGAAATTAAGATATATAGATATATGGGTTAATTTCACAAATGGTCACTGAAGTTATAGCAAAATTACAAAACAGTCACTGAAATTCGAAACTTGCAGAAACGGTCATTCAAGTTTCAGGCGGTTTCAGAAATGATCACTGAGGTAAGTTTTAGGATTTTTATGTTTTAATTGAAACCTAAAGCACCAAAACACGATCACTTAAAGGCTGGAGGACCTCAACTTCAAAATTCATCTAAAATCCACCTCCAAGCTCTCCTCCAAGCTCCAGTCATGGACGACTCCTCCAAGCTCCACTGTTCTACGCCAAGCCCCACCCCTCTACACCACCACAATCAACCACCTCCTCTACCATCCCTCTCTACACTAGTAATTTTTAGAAGAACATGTATGGAATTAAATCTGCAAAACCGGGGAGGCCCATTTCCTTTCGCGCGAGAAGGGGCCAGACTTGGATTCAAAAATTGGTGCAATTGACATGTTACACATGGTCGTATGTGGCTTCTGAAGACTCCATTGGGGCCAATTTGAGGATTCAATGTTGTGGGGATGAGGAATTGAGGAAGACAGATCCCGACTTGAAGCTACGCGATTGGCGGAATTTGCAAATTTAATTCCGGCCGATTAGGGGCATTATTGGCTGATGTATGACCATGGTTGTGATCGTCTGGATGAGGGCTAATGACCGGATGTGATGCACAACCATGGGTGTCGCCGGAATGGTGATTTTGGGCAGGAGAAGAGTTCGACAGATCTGGTTTTTTAAACCGATTTTGCTACTGATTCCAATAGGTTTGAAGGCGACGGTTGGATGGTTGTTGTAGAGGGCAATGAGCTGAGTTTATTGGTGGTAGAGTCCGGTGGCCATGGTGGCCGGAAGGTGGTTGATTTTGGCTCTATAGGTGGCGGTCGTGCAAAATTCGAGTTGTTGAGTTGTTGCTTGGGATGAATTGAACCCATGGTTGAGGTCGTCCATGTGTGGGCTTTCTACCAGTGGTGAGCTCCTCAGGCCGAGCCTCATTTTTTTTGGCCGAGCGGCTCGACTCGGGCCCAAAAAAGCTCGAGCGAGCCCGAGCTTTTTTTTTCGGCTCGGCTCGTTGACACAGCGCCCCACCTCGCCCATCGGCCCATCCCAAAACAAATAGCCGTCGCTAGCGTCACCACCGCCTCTTCCAAAAGAATCTCGAAAGTCGCCACCATTTCCTAACAATTCCACCACCGTGGCCACCATTAATGGTTATTGTCGCCGGCCAAAAAACATATAGAAACTTCAGATCCGGCCAAAGTTTTGAAACTTAAATCAAACTACAAAAGAGCAACTATAGCCATTTCAGAAAAATATAATAAACATTAATTTTTAACCATTCAAGAGTGTAATGGAGAAATCTCAGACTATACTTTGCGTAAAGTGGAGAAGGTTGGACAATTGGAGCTCAGCGGAAGGTCTATAATCGGCAGAAGGTAATTGGCAAGAAGCAGGTGAGTAAGCTGTCATATAATGATGTCCAACACCAAATTTCCATAGGCTCCATAGAAACACCAGTTCCAGAAGCTGAAAGAGTGGTGGTGCCACCATCCAAATCCCTAGGTCCTAAGCCTGAAAAGGCTGAGCTGCCACGTGAAGTCCCGGCCCTAGTACCCAAAAAAGTGGAGCCTTCACCAGAGGTGAAAACTCCAACGGTTTCTCCATCTACCGATTACTTTGCTTTGGTTGATGTGGTTGATGTGGCGACTGTGCCGACGAATTGATTTTGGGGGTTGGGTGTGAATTTTTAAAATGTTTGATACCGTGGCTCACACAAATGAAAGGTTTGGACAAAGTCCACTATTAAATGAAAGGTTTAGTATCGTGACTGCAATTTTCCCTTAGTAAAATATACGTATGACTTGAATGGATAATATATTTTCTTCAATGTTTTGTAATGGCATGATATATTAGTTAAATACATAAATTTTAGACACAAACTGTGTCTCAGCGTATGATTTGTGTATTCTATTTCGTACTATCAAGTTTATCCCCAGTAATAGTAAAGGAATTTGCAAATTAAATTAAAAAGAAATAAACAAAGCCTCTCTCCACTAATCTTAAGATCCTTCTCTCAACCCACATGCGCACGAACCAACACAAATAACAAAGAAAAACATACCCATCCAAATTAATGGAACCATCAGTTGAAGTCAGAGCCAAAGAATATCCACGGTCATAAAGAGGGACAGAATTGCCATCCAATGGTATAAACACCTCACTCGGTTGATTGCTTATTTGGTTGTCCACCCAAAAGGTCTACACAGAGTAGAGTACATGAGAATAAACCACAAATTCACTAACTATCGAGGTAAAAAGATAAATCATCCATTACAAACCATTCTATTAACAGAAAGGTAAAATGATGTGAGCATTTAAGAGTCATTTTATTCAGAAGTAAATATTTCATTGGAAGGGTGCTTAAGGGTATACAACTCCATTCAGATGGCATATCAAAAATCATGAATGCATTCTTAAAATGGAATTCTACATCCATATCTTGTTAAAAGGCTCATTTCAAAGCATCTGAAACCATCAAAGGAACAGTTTTTTTACAGGAGGTACCCACGCATAGTTGAATACTGATAATTATAGCTCCAGCAGAAGCAGTGGCGTGCCAATGATGATGTTGGTCAAGTCAATTTTACATCACCAATAATTCTTCTTGTCCTTACAATAGCCAGACACAAGTGCAAGCCAATATCACTATCTTCCAGAGAAATATTTTATTTTACTCCAAAACTAATAAACTATTGAATTGGTAATTCTATGGCCATAAGAAATTAAACTTCTAACCCAAATTTGAGCTTGTCCAGATGTGCATAAATTTGTTCAGATATTAACAAAAGGCCAAATTGCTCATGAACTCAAATGTTGAGAAGAAAACGAACAGAAGTCATTGTATTTTTTCCAAGTCAGATAAATGTAGTTCTTAAATTTTAAAGTCTTGAGTTTTATTTTTTGAAATACATGTCAAGTTAATGATTTATTGATTTTAGATCCACCACTGGACATGAGTACAATAGGGAGATAAAATCATACCACTGCAGAAGGCTTATCCACACCAACACAAAGAGCAGGAAAGTAAGTCTCTTCACCAGATACTAAAACTTCTTCTGAATCCTAAATTGAATAAACATTCAGGTCAGCACATGAAGATAGTGCAAATGAAAATAAAGCAAACAACTGCATAAAAGGTTAACTATATTAAATGTGTTACATATCAGGATAACAGTGTACAAATGTACCATCAATTGTGTCCACGACGAGGGAGGTTTCTCGTCAATAAACTAAGGAAGAAATGAGAGACTAAAGTGTAAGAATTCAAGCAAACCACATTTCTCAGAGAAATTTATCAGGCTTACATTTGATGACGAGCAGATTTGTCCGTGCCAATGTGACCACTGTTGTAATAGCTCCTCCAGCTTTCTTTTACTATCTCTGAGAAAGATAACAAGCTTGTCAGTTGTCAGATACCTGTAGGAGATATAATTAAAATAAAAAAAATGTATTACAATTTCATAGTTCATACCTGGTCAGATAATTATAATTAACACGCACGGAAGGTTGTTTTTCATCATCACTTAATCGCGGTCTCTTAACCCCAGATATTGCTAGGAGGTCAAGTTATGAAAAGTACAAGAAACTGGGATACGGGGAATTATGTAGCTAATGAATATGAAAATGAAAAAAAAATGTTAGAGCAGGATACGACTAGCATCTATTCCTCGACCACTGAACTTGGAGTGTACAAATTCACCATCAGTTTCCATCAAAGCTCCCTTCTTTTCATGTACAACATCAGAGATCTCTTCATTGATCCCGTCTCTGAACTTGGAGTTTACAGGTAAAGAATCGACTTCACTGGGCTCACAACCAAATCTGTGTAATTCATTATTCTCACTTCCACTTCGAGAAATACTTGAAGCAGGAAGGTTGCTGAAATCCTCGGTTTCCATAGATTCTAGCATATGCCTCAAGGTACGAAAGTGCACTGGTTGCATGTAATAAATCAGTATGGATATCAAGAATTTACTCAATAGGTACCAGAATGAAGTTAATTATTAATGCTCAACAATCAATAGGCATCTGAATGAAGTGAATAGTTAATACTCAACAAGTATCTGAAAGTACTGGAGGTAGTGTTCATAAATTCA